TTCAAATACAAGACTCAGTGGAACATGAAGAGTTAACGGGAAAGAGAAATAATAAGAGACTTATTAAGGTTGAACTGTATATACTCCTGCATGGACAGATGATATTTATAACTCATGAGACCTCTGTCAGTATTAGGGTAGCTGGAGGGAAAAATTATAGATAGATAGATAGATAGATAGATAGATAGATAGATAGATAGATAGATATAGATACAGATAGGGCAAGTTGAAGATGAAAGGGTCATATCTGGAGAATAAAACTGAGGGGTAAGGAGAAAGGGAGAGGTAGAACGGGGTAATTTATCTCACAAAAAAAAAACAGAAAGAAAAGTTCTTACAGTAGGAAAACAGGGAAGGTGAGAGGGAATGAGTGAATCTTATTCTCATAGGATTTGGCTTAAGGAGGGAATAACATACACATCAATTGGGTATGGAAATCTCTTACCCTACAGGAAAATAGGGGAGAAGGGGAAAGAGAGCAGGGGATGATAGAGAGGAGGGCAGATTGGGAAAGGGGTAATCAGAAGCAAACATTTCTGGGGAGGGACAGGGTCAAAAGAAAGAATAGAATAAGTGGGGCAGGTGTGATAGGATTAAGGGAAATGGAATTAGTTTTTCGGAACATGACTACCATGGAAGGGTTTTGCATAACTGCACATGTATAACCTATATTGAGTTGCTTGCTTTTTCAGTGAGGGTGGGTGGGGAGAGAGGAAGGGAGACAATTTGGAACCTAAAGTTTTAAATACATGTTTAAAAAAAAATGTTTTCACATGCAACTGGGAAATAAGAAATACAAGAAATGGGGCACAGAAATCTATCCTGCCCTACAGGAAAGTAGAAGGGGAAGGGGATAAGAGAAGGGGGTGGGAGAGAAATAGAAGGGAGGGCAGACTAGGGGAAGAGATATTCAGAATACATGCCATCTTGGGGTGGGGGGAGGGGCAAGATGGGGTGAAAATTTGGAACTCAAAATCTTGTGGAATTAAATGTTGAAAACTAAAAATAAATTTAAAAAAAATTTTTTTAAAAATAAATTGCTATTTTCTTCAGTATTATTTTTGTGTCTCCTTTACCAAACTGTTTTTTGATTTTATTTTGTATTTGTATTTTGTATTTGATTTTATTTAATGATTTGCTTGCATCACTCTCACTTCTCTTCCCAATTTTTCCTCTACTTCTCTCACTTGCTTTTCAAAATTCTTTTTGAGCTCTTCTATGGCCTGAGACCAATTCATAATTTTCTTTTTTTTTTTTTTTGGCTAGGCAATGGGGTTAAGTGACTTGCCCAGGGTCACACAGCTAGTAAACGTTATGTGTCTGAGGCCGGATTTGAACTCAGGTACTCCTGACTCCAGGGCCGATGCTCCATCTGCGCCACCTAGCTGCCCCCAAATTCATATTTTTCTTGAAGGCTTTGGTTATAGGAGCTTTGACTTTGCTATCTCTTTCAGAGTGTGTGTTTTGATCTTCCTTTTTTTCCCCCTGTTTTCTTTTTTTTTCTCTTAAAGACTAACCTTAAGCCCAAACCACTCTGGTACCACACCAAGCCCTACTTGGCCCAGATTGACTCAAATGAACATAAATAACAATTGTTTCTGTTTTTGCCAGAAACCCTGAGGGTCTTCCCCTCCCAGATCTATTTTTATTTTTTAAATTTTAAAAGAGACCATTCTTTGCCTCATTTTTATTAAGCCTTAAGCATTGAATGGGTGCTGCCTCAGTCAAACTGAGAGCTGCTAAAGACCTTAGCTTAAAAAGGCCAAGGTTCCCCATCGCATCCTGGGCCATCTCCTGTTGTTCTGATGTTTATCATGCCACTGGACCCAGGAGGAGAAAGTGAGGCTGGTGACTTTGTACAGCACTCCCTCACTTAAATCCAATTCACTTGCATGTCATCTCCCTGATGTCATGGTCCTCTTTGAGAACAAAGGACAAACAACAAAGCAAGCAGTAGCAATCTTCCTTGTCACCATAGTAACTTTTTATTGTCAGAATTTATTCTGTTGTTTGCTCATTTTCCCAGCCTATTTCTTGACTTTTAATAGGGCTCTGCTTCTAGCGTGGAGGGCATTTGTCCTAAGCTTCAGGGGGTTTGTGTAGCTGTTTTTCAGAGATACTTCAGGGATCTGTAAGTTTTCAGCTCTTCTAAGGTGGTATGATCTAAGGAGAGGTGTATTTACTTCTCTCCTGGCCTGTGCTCTGGTCTGTGAGTTACCACAAGCACTCTTTTCTGCCCTTGAACTATGATGAGGGTCCCTAGCTCCACTGTGGCTACAAGCTCTGGTGTGCTAGTGCTCTTCCTCACCCTGGGACTGCTACCCAGTACTGGACTCAGATCCCACTATGAGCAAAGTAACAGAGTCCTGCCTCAGTGCTAGCAAACAGACCTCAGTAATCTCCTTCTGACCAGTTGTTTAACTCCCTTACCATATGTGCAGCTGAGAGCATCAGAAGCAGCTGTTGCCACTGGTTTGCTGGGACCCAATCTGCACTGGCACAACCTGTGGGGGATTGTGCTCCACTCTCACTCAGGTGCGACAGACCTTTCCTGCTGACCTTACCAGTTGTCCCTGGCTGGAAAATTATTGCACTCCATCCTTTTGTGGGTTTTGCTACTCCAAGAATTGTTTTATGGCATTATTTATAGGTGTTTGGAGGGGTTTTGGGGAGAGCTCAGGTGAGTTGCTGCCTTTTCTCCACCTATTATATTCTTTATACCTACTACTCATTTGAGTGATATTATCTGAGTAGAAAGTAATTTACAAAATCCACAGTAGTTATAGTTAGATGGAAGTTTGTAAGAGCAGGAGCAAAAGAGATGCACCAATCGTGCAGCAAATGTGATGCACAGCTAAAGTCAATCTGTCAATAAATACTTATTAAAGGCTTACTTTGTGCCAGACACTGTGCTAAAACACTAAGGATACAAAGGACAAAAGACAGTTTCTGCCCTCAAAGAGTTCTCAGTAAAATGGTGAAAAAATGCAAACAACTATGTAAAAACAAGCTATATATAGGATAAATTAGAGATAATCAACAGAGGGAAGACACTAGAATTAAGGAAGATTGGGAAAGGCTTTATGTAAAAGGTGGGATTTTTAGTTGGGGTGTGAAGGAAGTCAGAAGGCAGAGATGAAGGAGAACATTCCAGACATGGGGTACAGCCAATGAGAATGCCCAGAATCCAGAGATGGAGTTGTCTGTTCAAGCAAGGAGGCTAATGTCACTGGATCACAGAGTATATGAAGGGGTATAAGACTGGAAATGTATGGAGGGGATGGGAAAAGGGAGATTATAAAAGGCTTTGAACATCAGAGGATTTTCTAATTGATCCTAGTGAATAGACAGCCACTGGAATTTATTAAACTGGGACATGACATGGTCAGACCTGCATTTTAAAAGAAAGATCAATTGGGTGGAGGATGGATTGAAGTAGGGAGAGACTGGTTTCCATGAAATATTGAAAAAAAAAACAGAGGAAGGCCTCTATGAATAGATAACATGTAAAGAAGAATCTATAGAGATAAGGACAATAATAAGTAGCACAGAATGAAAAATCATAGAGGGGTCGTGACCTGCACCAACAGAACATACAGTCACATAGGTGAGATCACATATTCACTTAAGTAAAAATATATGTGGTCCTTTTGCCAAAATATCTAAAATCTACAGTTCCTTAGCTAAATTACTAGCTTTTTTATCAAAAGTGGTATTTTAGCTTTCTGGCTCTCAGTATGATATTTTATATCTTTTAATTGCTTAGAGAAAAAAGTCATGTGTGTGTATATAATATATGCACATTTGTATATTACATTATACATAATATACATTACTACATGTTACAATAATATATTATACAAAGACACCTAATATATACATAAACATATTCCTTCCACAAAAGTCCTATTCCAATCACTGTATGGTGGTAATAACCATTTGTTTCCAAAGGCTGTGTCAGTAGGGCACAAGTTCTGGCAGGTACTAAACCAAGTGTGTGCCAAGTGTGTCTGTGTTTCAAGGAACAGCCTAGCCAGGTTCAGAAAGGCTCTTCACCAGGTGAGCCACAGAGAGATAAACTTTACTTAGATTACATTAGAAAGAAAGCTCCTTGCAAATAGGAATTAGTTCATTTTATTGTGCTTATATCCCTAACACAGTGTCTGACACATAGTAAGTACTTAATATTTAATTGATTCTGAAAAAGAAACTCAAAAAGACTGCATCCTTCTAAGGAAGGAGGACCTACACCAAAAAAATCACTGATCCCCAAACTACTGAAATAACTAAATGTATACAAACAATACAGATTCACTCTTAAAAAAAAAAGTAATAAGCAGATCCAGAGAAATATTTGTATTCTCCACAATCTTTCCAAAAAAAAGAGCTCAAAGTGCTCACTATTGACTCCATTTAGTCTACAAGTCTATTTCAAGAATTCCCTCTTTAAATATAAAATGTTATAGAGTGATTTGTCTTTGAGGAACACAAAATACTGAAAAAAAAATGATAAACATTCCTTAATCCCTACAAAAGTAAAAGAAAAAACAAGAACCAAGATAAGCAGGAAGGAATAGTTCAGAGGAACTACTACATATACAGGCAGTAATGAATTTCTAAGAAGCTCATCAAAGTCTCTATCTTTGCAAGGGTGCTGAATTCAACCTAAAATGTTAGGACCTTAAATTTTGATAAAGAGGTAAATAAGAATATAACATTTATGTAGTATCACACTTAGTAAGTAACTGTCTGTACAGAGTTATCTTTTAAACAAATGATTATGGACAGTTACACAGTAATATTAAGCTAATAAGTGCCTCCTCTTACAAATGATAAAAATTAAGATTTAACTACTCAATAGCATATTTATTAAAGAAAAAACATAATTAAATCTCTTTCATTCTCCCATAGTGCTTCTACAGTTACGAGAACTAATTTCAAAACCATCAATAACTATTTTTAAACACACGAAAATTTATTTATATCACAAGAGAACTTACCTTTGGTCCTATTTTTGTTGGCACATCTCCATTTTCCAAGATACGCAAGTCCAGTTTACCATCATCCTTACTTCCTGTAGCCTTTAGCCCTTGCAAAAGAATTTCTCGTAAATTCTGATAATGAGGTTTTTCTGTGTAGCCCAATACTTTCACTTCTTCCATATATTTAGCAATTTCATCTAAAATAAAAATAAATTATATTTTTCTTTTTTAGTTTATTCATTACCATAACCAATGTGAACGTTTGTCAATATAATTAAATTTATTATATTTTTCAACATGACTAAATTTATTACTTTTAGAGTTCTACAGTGCAAAGCTGTTCAAGGCATTAATATATTTGAAAAAAATTCTTTGAATTTTTAAAATCCACTTACTGAGAGAAAAGTGTAATTTGGATTCAGGAACTGTAGGGTCAATAAATTAAGAAAAAAATGTATTCTCCTATATGTTCTTAAAAAAACATGTTACAGTTGTGACACCAATACAAAGAAGATTATTAAAAACACTTTCATAAAAATAATAGGAAGTTTTCAAGAGTTGAAAGAACACTTTTTTTTAAACTACAGAAAGTACTAATTACAAAAATAAGGAAAGCTAATTCATGAAACAGATTAGGTAAACAAGCTCCAGAAGCAACTGAACATAATAGAGTAGTGTCTGTTAAACCCAAGGACACCAGTTACTGGGGTGACAATGCCTTATTCAACAAAAATCGATTGGAGAACTAGAAAGCAGTTTGGCAGAAATTAGGTCTAGATGAACATATTATACCATTTACCAAAATAATCAATTAAGAAACACACATTAAAAATGTACTTTGTGCCAGGCATTGTACTAGGTGCCAGTGATAAAAAGACAAAATTAAATGTCCTTGCCTTCACAGTTTATATTCCATCACGGAAACAACATCTACATACGTAAGTAAATACAAAATGGATACAAGGTGAAGAGGATACTGCGTAATAGAGCTTATTTTCTAGCAGGGGAAACAACTTATGCAACATATGAGTAAATTCAAGATGGATACAAGGTTAAAGCTTCATGTAGAAAGTGTCCTATGAACTGAGTGTTGATGTAAATTGGGGTCTCTAACCAGTAGACGTGAGGACAGAGTAAATTCCAGGAAAGAAGAACAGCCAGAAAAAAGGTACAGAGATCATAAACAGAGTGTTGTATATAAGGGATAGTAAAAAATCCATATACCATACTATGCTATGCTATGCTATGCTATGCTATGCTATACTATACTATACTATACTATACACTATATAGTGCATGAAAGCAACTAATATGAAATAAAATTGGAACGGTAAGTCAGGGCCCAGTCCTGAATGGCTGTAAAAGCTAAATAATGGTTAAGCTGACCCTGGCACAAAGTCCAAAATCAGGAACTAAAATGGAAGATGTGAGTTAACAGAATGCAAAGACATTATTATACATTCTGAAATGCCCATCCTAAAAAAATCTGTTGTAGATAAAAGCACAGGCAAGGAAAGTAAGATTACTACTATCAATGACAAAGGCCAGTTGAACAAAGAAGATATTGAGTGAATGGTCCAAGAATTTGAAAAATACAAGGCTAAAGATGAGAAGCAGAGAAACAAGGTAGCTTCCAGGAACTCAGAAGAATCTTGTGCTTTCAACACGAAGGTTACATTAGAGGATAAGAAACTCATAAGGCAAAAATGATGTTAAAGACAAATGGAAGTTGTCAGGACGCTTGGTGGGTTCCCAAGTGGTAGAACAGCTTCAGTCAAAAGGTGCCTCAACTGATCCCACCATTGAAGAGTTCCACTAAATGCACTAGGAAAGAAAGAATTCCACACAACTTTTCAAAAACAGAAGGACTCAAATCTGTAACCAAAAGCTAGGTACAGTGGAAATTTTAAAATAATATTTGAGCTACTGTGTAAATCTGAGCATTCTGAACACTTGAATATGTGCAAAGGGAAAGAAGTGAATAACATTACACTTGATCAGCACTGTAAACAAGTGGAAATGCAATTATTGTGCTGAAGAATAAACAATTATTTAAAATTAGCACAGTAAAAAAATTACTGGTGACCAGGAAGATTAAATATGATATTCATTCTCCTTCTTGAAAGAACTAGACCATATTCCATTTTTAGCTGCAAAACATGGTATAAAGACTTACAGTTTGTTTAACATTAGAAAACAACTGCTGTGCAGGAATTTTATTTGAAAAAGTTTTCATATCAAACAGACATAAGGAACTGATTCCAATTCATAAAACAAATTTATCTATTGCCCAATAGATAAACGGTCAGAAGACACGAACAGGATGCTTTCAAAGGAAGATATCTAGCAACCATTAACAACTATCAGAAACATCAATAATCACAGCAAAATGCCCTAAAAAACACTAACAATTAGATAAATTAAAATTAAAGCAATTTTGAGGCTCTACCTCATATTCTGACTGACAAAAAATGACAAAAGAAGAAAATGACAAAAACTGGAGATGTAGGAAAACAGGTGTATTGTTGGTGGAGCTAGGAATTTTGTCCAATCATTCTGGAAAGCAATTTGGAAATAAGCCCATAATGTCACTAAACTACATACATATGCTTTGACCAAACTATATTACAAGTAAGAGACCTATTGCTGTTGTTCAGTCATTCAGGCAAGTCTAACTCTTTGTGACCCTCTGGACCATACTGCTTATAGAGTTTTCTTGGCTAAGATAGTGGAGTGGTTTGCCATTTCCCTCTCCAGTGGATGAAGGCAAACAGAGGTAAAGTGACTTGCCCAGGTTTACAGAGCTAGTAAGTGTCTGAGGGTAGGTATGAATGCAGGTCTTCCCGACTCTAAGCCCAGCTCTTATCCACTGAGCCATCCAGCTGACTAGGTGATCTATATATCAAAGAAAAAGGAAAGGGTTCCATATGTATAAAAATATTTACAGCAGTAATTTTTGTGGGAGGGAAGGAGAAAACAAGCATGTATTAAGAACCTACAACAGTGCTAAACACCTCAAAAATACTATTTCATCCTTACAACTCTATGAGGTAAGTTCTATTACTCTATTTTACAACTTAGGAAACTGAGGCAGATTAATATTTCATTACTTGCCCAGCCAGGGTCAAAAAGTGATTAAGTATCTGAGGCTGAATTTGAATTCAAATCTTCCTGACTGCAGGTCCAGTGCTCTATCCACTGTGCAATACAGCTGCCCTGGCCCAAAATTGGAAACTAAGAGGTTACTTTAGAGTAGCTAAACAAACTGAGCTACATAATGTAATTGAATCTTATTGTGCTTAAGAATATGACAAAATGATGGGGCAGCTAGGTTGGCCCTGGAGTCAGGAGGACCCGAGTTCAAATCTGGAAGACACCTAACACTCACTAGCTGTGTGACCCTGGGTAAGTTACTTAACCCCATTGCCTAGCAAAAAAAACAAACGAACAAAAAGAATATGACAAAACGGAAAGTTTCAGAGGAAACTAAGAAGACCTCCATGAATTGACACAGAGTAAAGTGAGTAAAACCATAACAATCTATGTAATGATGATGTAAAGAAATAACTTTAAAAGACTTTGGAAATCTGATCAATACAATGATAAACAATGAATCTACAAGAACAAAAAATGGAACATGCTGCTGACCTTCTGCCACAGAATGATGATGAAAAAGACATAGATTTTCAGACATGGCCAATGGAAGAATTTGTTTTGCTTGTATTTGTTTGTATAAATTTTGAGGGTTTTATTTTTCAGAATTTTTAAAAACTTGATCAATTAGGGAGAAGGTAGGAAGCAGGAAGGGAAGGGAAAAAAACTATGCAAAAAATAAGCCAACCCAACACATTCATATCATTACTATAGTTGTTTTTGTAAGTTATAAATTATCTATGTGTTACACGATTTTAATTTTATGTTTAAGATTGTTGTATGTGTTACAATGATAAATTTGAAAAAATAAAATGATTGCTTTCCATAATTCTAAAGTATTCTTACAATATTTTAATGAAATTTACAACATTTTTTTTTCTTCCCAAAACAAAAACCTTCCTACCTGGTTTATTTTTCTCAGGAAAACATGTGTCCATCAAACTTGCAATATTTTCTCGGTAGCTAAGAAAGGTCAAAGAATGAACAACTGTTTAAAGTCTCACCCTTCGGTGGACTGTTAATAAGAGGAGGTGAAATGGCAAATTTAGAATGGACTTAACGTGATATCCTAGATATTTAGATTTTTTTTAAAAAATACATAAATAAGGGCACATGCTAAGTCTACCTAATTACTTATATCTACATTATTGTTAGTTAAACAACTAAACAGAGTTTAATCCAAATATACTTGGCTATTTTAATTTTTAAAAATATAAGTGTCAAAGACAATTCTACTACAAGTTATTGTGAGAGAAAAAAAAACACATTCTCCTCCACCTAATTTTGGAATCTCTGACGTAATTAGGATCTTTCAAATTGTCCTCCCAAGGGAGATGGCCACTGAGCCACTGGATCATGCAGTAACCTAGTATTTCCAAGTCACCCCGTCTTGATGGAGCTGAAATATAAAACAAGTAGAGGATTAGGCATACTGAATATTTTAAAGTAATTTCTTCAAATATATGTAAGACAAACTAGAAAAAAGAATATAATTGGTCTTTTATTATAAAAAATTCCATGCATTATTTAATGTAAAAATACAGATAATATAAAATATTACTTCTCTTCAAGTAACAGAGCCATCGAGCATCTCAAATCTGCAATAATTCAAGAACCAACATTGACACACAGACCCACAAAGAAATAAAATTAAAAAGATATTATTGATATACTGATTTCATTGTTACTCTTAGGAAACATAGATGCAATCAAAGAATCATCAAGCTCTTTAAGAAGAGGTAGATGCTAAATGACTTGCCCAGAGTAACAAGGCTAGTAAGTGTCTGAAACTGGATTTGAATTCAAGTCTTCCTGACGCAGGTCTAGGCAGTGGGCTGTCTAGCCATCACACAGTTAAAAAGCTCCTTTATTTGAAAAAATTTTTTTTTATAAAAAATGAAAGTGACCTAATGTCGACCTTATGTCATTCCATTTTTAAAAGTTCTAGACCAAAGAACTGGGGCTCAAAATACATTAGCAGTTTTAAAAATACTAACCTTAATTGTTATTTACTTACCCACACCCTTATGTGCATCAATACTTGTATACTCAATGGTCCCATCATGACACCTTTTAGGGTCTTCTTTATATTCTTTATGAACTCCTTCCGGACAATATCGGTAAGCCAGGCCATAATCTACTAAATATACCTAGAAATTCCCAAATATCACACTAAGATTAAATCCAATTAAAATCCAATCTGCCATACACACACACACACACACACACACACACACACACACACACACACATATACACACACACTCTCACACCTTCAAAACTCAGTAGACCCCTAAAAGATAGCTTGAGCCAAAACACAAACAATATTCACTCATTCAAAATAATTTATTAAATAATTACTACATGAAGAACTATCTGCTAGGGACTAAGGAAGGTATAAAGTTTAGACAAGATCCCAGTACTTATTCAGACCAGGTACAGTGCTAAGTGCTGCAGATACAAAGAGAGGTTAAAAATAGCCTGTTCAAAATGAACTCGGTCTATAGGAAAAGATAACATGTACAACTATGTACAAAAGAAGACACACAGAGAATAAACTGTGGATAGTCTCAGAAGGACATCAACAAGAAGGATTGGGTAAGGCTTCTTGTAGGGACAGGATTTTAGCTAAGACTTGAAGAAAGTCAGGAAAGCCTGAATGCACAGATCAGAAGAGAGACAGCTCTAGGCATGAAGGACAGCTAGTGAAATTGCTCATTCAGGAGATGTAATGGCATTTGAGAGGAACACTAAAGAGGCCTATGTCACTGAATCAAACAGTACATGGGAGGGGGGATAGGAGACGCATAAGGGGTTAAGACACTTAAAAAGGTAGGAATGGGCCAGGTTATAAAGAGCATTAAAAGTCAACATATTTTATATTTGATTCAGAAGGTGATAGGGAGCCATTGGAGTTTATTGACTAGAAGGGTGACATAGTCAAAACCAAACATTTTGACAGCTAAGCAGAAGAGGTATGGAAGTGGGAAGAGATCTGAGCTAGGGAGACTAAATAAAAGGCTAATGTAATAATTCAGGTATGAGGTGATGAGGGCTGCAACAAAGCAATGGCAGTGTCAGAGAAAAGATGGGGGAGGGGGAAAGGTTACAAAAATACAAACAACAGGACTTGACAAATGACTGGATGGGAAAGAGGAAATAAGAAAGAGTAAAGAGGCAAGGATGACACCTACGTTGCCAGCCAGGATGACTAGAAGGATGGCAGTCCCCTTACAAGTAATAGGGAAGTTAGGGAAAGGGGAGGATTGGGGGAGGGAGGAAGAAGGGCAGAACATACTGAGTTCAGTTTTGGATATTTTGACTTTTAGGAGTCTATGGGACAATAGGAAATGAGAGACCAGAGATCAGCAGAGAGGTTAGGGCTGGATAAGAAGATTTAAGAATCCTAAGAATAGAGATAAAAATCAAATCTACAGGAGTTGATACAGTCACTTCCTCAATAAAGAGAAGTACAGTAAAGAGATGATAAAAAGAAGAAAAGAGGGCCCAGGACAAAGCCATATACTCATAGTTAACGTGCACATGACCTAGATGAATATCCAGCAAAAGAAACTGAGTAGTCAAAAAGTTGGAGAAGCAGGGGAGATTAGTGTCTCTAACACCTAAAAAGAGTATCAAGGAGAAGAGGGTGATCAGCAGTATCAAAGGCAGCAGACAGATCAAGACGGATGATGGGAGATGAAAAGCATTAGATTTGGCAATTCAGAGAACATTAATTACCATGGAGACAGTAGTTTCAGTTAAATGCTGAGGTTGGAAGACAGACTATAAAGAGTTAAGAGAATAAGAAAAAAAGAAACAAGAGCACCTATTTAGATGGTCTTCTCAAAGAGTTGAACCCCAAAAGGAAGAAGAGATATGGAGTTGTAGGATGTGACATGAAGAAAAGAGGAGAAAAAGGAGTTCTTTGTGAACGGCTTTAGACTTTTCAGTGAAATATAAGGCAAGGTTCTCAGCTGAGAAGGTGAGGGAAGAGTGGAGAAACAATGGAAAGGTTTAGAAAATCTGCTGTGGTGAGGGGGGAGGGGAAGAGAGTAAATCAAATACAGAAGTGTAAAAAGATTGCCTTGCCACAGTGAAGGCCCAGCTGAAACAATGTAATATAAAATTGTAGTGTTCCCAGGCATTTTATTCTGTGATCCCCTTTATCCTTTGCTGAATAAGAATTCTTGCCCTATCCACAATGAATAAAGGTATTTCTTTCCATGGTCCAATTTGTTTGTGATTGATTCTTTATATCTAAATCATGGATCCATTTGAAGTCTTATTGGTGCATATTCAAATTCACATCTATAAACATTTACTAAAGACCTACTAGGTGCCAGGCATCGTGCTAAATGCTGGGGATACAAAAAGAAGAAAAACATTCCCTGGCCCCCAGGAGCTCACAATATAATGGATGAGACAACATGCAAACAAATATACACAAAGCAAGCTATATACAAAATGAATAGAAAATAATTAAAAGAGGGAAAGCACTGGGAATTAATAGGGGATAGAGAAGGCTTCCTGTACGTGGGATTTCAACTGGGACTAGGGATTAGAAATTTATGTTGAGGCAAATTTCCTCGGACACTTTTAGATGGTCCTTTCCTTCTACACTCTGGATGCTATGACCACTGTCAATATGGACGGATTGGTTGATATTGGTTCCCACTCTGCCTTAATCCTTAAATTTTTTTTCCTAGGGGTTCCAGGTAGGTTCCTGCCTCAGCTGGTCTCAGTCTCCTTTTGTATGATCACCAATGGTTCCATCCCCTGCTGTGCCCCTGACAGGCTACGTGGGATTTACGCTATCATACTGTTCTCAGGCCTCCTCCACAGCTATCCTAGATCTGGCACACAGGCAATGACTTGCCCTTCTGTCTTGCTTTGGCTGTTAGTATTCCAAGGAGTATATACACGGCCCAGACCTTTCTCCCTGTGCAGTAAACAATGGAAACTTCTGTTCTGCCAGACCAGAACCAGGTTTCACATTCACAATTACTAATTCATAATTAACTTGGAACCCACCGCCAAACCCCACAGAGCACTGGATGACTTCCGATCTGTTAGTTTGAGCTCACAATAGCTTTCCCCACGATACTCTTGTCACCATCTCTGCTAGCTTCCAGCCCTTTTACTGGAGTTCACACTGGCTTCCTTCCCTGGTGAAACTTCTCTCTACAACCAGTCAGCTTCTACATTTATCTGAGCTCACACTGGTCTCATTGCCGGCCTTTGATGACTTTGGGGCATCTATTTGTACAGTGCTGAAACAAATGAAGGAGTTTACTTCTGTTCCTTTCTTTATCATTAATCTTTCTGGGTCTTTTTCAGATATCTGATGAGGTTTATTTAGGAGAACTGAAATTCTCTATATCACTTCATGTTGCCTTTTGTTTTTCCTGAAAACTGAGTCTTCCTATCTCTCACAGACTAGAAATACAACGTCAATTCATAAGCCCAGTCTCAACATAGATCATCATAGAAACTTTTATCTGCTTCATTTTTCCCACTGGGGCAGTTTGCTTCTCCTTAGACAGTCTGGTGGCCCTCCACTTCTGAGCAGGAGTTAGGGGGCAGGGGAGACCCAACATACGAGTGCTGAACTTATATGGACAATAGAGACACTTTAGCTCTACTACAGCTCAGAGTTCCTGAACATAAGCAATTCACCTGCCTCAGAATTCTCATCTACAAGTATACAACATCAAGCCCAGCTCATGTTGCCTTCTTAAACCAGAAGTCCCTGGGTCCCTATTTTCCTAGTGTTACAATAATTTAATATTAAAAGGTCTTTGAATCTGTGGCTTTTCACTTGCAAAAATTTTAAACAGGCATTAAATGTCTAAAATAATTTCTACTGTATTACAATGTTTAGTATTTGATATATTGTTATGTACCATTCTCTAGCTATTTCATATCTATTAATAGTCTCAGCTCCCCTAATAGATTATAAGGTTCTCAAGGGTAGGCACCTTGTCTCACATTTTCATATTTTGTTCTTCTATTTCCTAAAGAACCAAGCACAAGGTTAAACACATAGGAGACACTTAGTAAGTACCGGTTGACTGATATCATTTGCTATTACTTGCTTCTTGCCACACCCCAAAAAGATTTTTAACTCTAATTCTGCTTGTGAGCCACTACTGAAGCCTATACCCAGTTTCTTAGTCTGATTTATAAGATGTATACAATATCTGTTCACTTCATAAAGTGATAAGCAGCATAGTAAACTGGAAAGAGTAGTAGATTTGGAACCACAAGACCTGGGTTTGAATTGGAGTTCTGCCACTTCTGTGTACCTTTGAAAAGCCACTTAGCATTTCTGTGCCTCAGTTTCCTCATCTATAAAACGTGAAGCTTAGACTAGACAATCTTTAAAGGATGCTTCTGCCCCATAAAATAAGATTGGCATGATATTTTATAGATTACAAAATTTAACTAAAGGATTTACAGATGATGTTCTCTGAATAAAAATGGTATAATATACTTCATAAAGTTACTTTTTATTATAGAGAGAAAAGAAGGAGAAAGGAGAAGAAGATGGAGAAGAGCTCAGAAGTAATGAGGTCATGATCTAGGCCTCATGTGGACCACTTAACTTTGATCTGTTCCAAAGCCCTAACCCCAGCCAGCCATTTCAAAGATGTATACAAAGAGCAAAGGAGGAAATTCAGTGGGAGTTAAAAAATGTAACAGGAACAAATTAATCAAGAATACTTTAAAAAAAAAAAAAGGTATATGACCTCACAGTGGTTTCATAAAATTACTTTCATGTAATAAATAACATCATGTTATATTTAACTAAAAATTATATCTTTTACAACTTAAAATGATAACTGCCATTTCTAATCTAATCATACTATCTTAATTAAGAGAATCCTTCAAAATCATCCATACTTTTACCTATTTTGTATCTGACCTAGAAATTGTATATGTAAAGCAAAATGGCTTGAAAGACCTAACATCAATTCTATGACAGCTACAAAAATTTCTCAACAGAAGCAAAGAGTACAGAATAATATGTAAGAAGTAATATAATGGTTTCCTTTCTTACCTTCAACCAGTGCCTAATTTGGACTGCTAAAAACAAACCTGAATATCCCTATTCAAGGTACTATTGATTCAAGATGCCCCTCTCCCCATTCTAACAGTAGTTTCTATCAAAATCATTATCAGTATATTTATTGGGATCCAGGCTAAGCAGTCTACTCATCCTAAAATAAACTCTACCTCCCAAAGACCATATACCTTCTTTAGGTTAATTTGGAAAACTACCCCATAAGTTTTCCCCCTTGACAAGATATCTACAACTAAAGCTGACTAAGGCCATTAAGGGTCTTGAGTATGTACTGAAGCTAAAAGTCAATCATAATTGTGGAAATTCCATCCAGGTGCTTAACTCTGGCCAATTAGCACAGGTTGAACCCTACCTCTGGAATGCTCTCCCCTCCACACCTCTGCCTCCTGAAATACCTGGTTGCCTTCAAGAATCAGTTCAAGTATAACCTTTTTTTCTCCAAAAAGCCTTCTGTGGTTCCTCCATCTCCTAGTGCCCTCCCATCCAAGTATACCTTGTATCTGCTTTCTATGTATTTTGTATTTACTAACATGTTGTCTCTCCCATTAAAATGAAAGTTCCATGAAGACAGCATCTGTTTTGCTTTTGTCTTTATTCCCCAGATCTTAGAACAGTAACACAATGTCAGTCTATAAATAATAAATGCTTTGTGACTGACTGTTGATTGATTGTGCGTCATCTGGAAATACAGGAAGAGGCTATGGGACAGCATTCATATCCCAGGAGTTGTTACGGTACTAGCTGTACTCCACTTCACAATAACTCATATGCTTCAATAACTTCTCCAGAATATGCTTGAGCTGTATGTTGGGTTTTGCTTTCAGCTTTTAGTGGCACAAAGGGTAATGTGTGTCACATGATTATTCATTTAGATAGCATTAGTTACTAAACGTTGGTGAATGAAGAATATAGGAGAACTTGGATGCCTTCTGACCCTTGGAATTAATGAAGAGATCACAAAATAAAATAAAGAACAATAACTGATACAGTCAAAATGCAAATGTTTTCTTAGATCAACTAAGCAACTAGAAAAATTGTTTATATATTAGGATACATTTCTACAGCTAAAAATTCTTCATTTCTCTATTGTAAGTCAGTCCAATGACACTTTTATCAAATATATAGGAACAAAGATATTATAAGTAAGAAATTTATCTAGACCTCACTACTACTCTGCCAACTATATTAAAAGTACAGTAATATTAGTTTTTATTCTTTCCTAACAAAGTTAAAAATTATGGAAGGCAAGGAACAAACAGTGGAAATACACATTTGAATTCTAGACACTAAAGAGTATAAAAAACTAGACAGCTGAGATATTTCTGTAAAACAACTGATTTGAATAATCAACATGTTAAAGACCAAATTTTCCAAGTAAGAGAAGACTTACATTTGATGGATTTCTTGAACAAAGGAAATGAAAAAGTGACAAAGCAGACAGGCAAACATAATTCATTGGTGCACTATATAATTTTAAGCTTCCACCCCCAAATAGCTATTTGAAATTCATTTTGTATTCGCAAGCACTCTTCCTGAACATTATTTAGGGCAAAATAGCCAACTTGATAAAGTGTCAGCAAATTGCATCAAAAATATAGAATGCTAACTAGATAAAAGTGTCAAGGAGAAATATTATTATTACTATATCCACTTCTAAAAAGTTAAACTTCTGCTGGGGTTCAAAAGTTCAAAGTAACTTGATTTGTTGAATAGGTCTTAAATAGAAAAAAATTAAAGTTATAAAACTACCTGGTCAGGATTCTTGTAGTTCAGAAGAAGATTTGAGGCTTTGATATCTCCATGTACATATTCATGTTCATGGATATATTCCAGAATATCCAGCTAAGAAATCAACAAATAGAAATTAATGTAATACTAATTTCAACCAGCAGAGGACATGTACTGAACTTAAAGTAGCTTATACAATATTACAAACACTTACTATTCTTAAGCTTAGCTGCAAGACAGTTTTCCGTGAAAATCTTTTAGCATTAGCTTCATATAACTTCTGAAGATCACTCCCAAAGCGATCCATTACCATAAACCTATAACTGAGAGTAAACAAAAAGTTAATGGAAGAAACACAACTTAGTGATCCACTTCACAATTAAGAGATTGTGCTTACCTCTTTAAAGAAAAGGTTCTTAATAAAATACTCTAAACACAAATGCTCCAAAAAAAATTTTCTAGTGGAAATTAACATACTATTTCAATGATCTTCACTTTAAATTTTTGCCTTAAACCTTCCTGACCAAGGGTTAATAGGATATTACCCACTTGAGAGAATCCCGTATATTCAATATCAATGGATTCACCTTGATCAAAAAAAAATCCACTAATCTTTTCCCATTTTTAGAGTCACTATTATTCTTATTATAGGATTATTTTCATGGAATCCTCCTTGAAAAAGACTTTTTTTTTTTACCCCAGAGTTGCTAGATTTTTTTAATTAAAACACATACTACATCAAAATATGTCAAATCATTAATATCTAGATTCAATGTGGTAGCTTCAACAAAGGGGAAAAATAGCCAACTTGATAAAATGTCAGCAAATTACATCAAAAATATAGAATACTAAGTAGATAAGTTTTCACTATACATTAAATAGTAAATGTGCTGTAAAATTTAATTAAGTTGTAAACACACATTTCTTATTTTTACTTTGACTATAATATTCACCTTCTATATTTTTCTGAATATTTAACATACAGGATACAGTAGAAAGACCACTAGATTTAGAGTCAGAGGACCTGTCTTCAAATATCTGGTCTGCTAGTTATTATGTGTGTGACCTTAGACAAGTCATTTCACTTTTCTGACCCTCTGTTTTTTATCTATAAAATAAAGAAACTGGAACAGATATCTCTAAGCATCCCTTTGACTGTACACTTAAAAGCAACAGCATCCTTAAAGTACAGAACATATACTCTACCTTATAATGGTGCTACTAATCAAATCTATATTCATGAATCAAAACAAGACGATATCTAAGTTATCACAACATATTTAAAGACTTGAATATAACAGACTTCTTTAACTACACCAAAAAAAGGCATTTTAGTTATTTAAATTCCAAATAGGATACATAAAACAATGGTTTTATATATTCCAATTTACCCTGCAGAACAGGTAACTAAATCTAACATATCAATGTAAAAGTTGTAAAAAGCAGATTATATATTTAACTCTATCACTTACATAATAAGAGAACTTCAGGACTAGAAAACCCATTGGGTATTATCTAGTTTATTTCATTTTATAGATGAGGAACTTGAGATTCAAAGAGATGGAGTAGATGTTTAAGGTCACATGTCTAGTAAAAAGCAAGAATGTAGGTCTCTTGATTCTCATTCCAGTGCTGTTTCCACTATGGGGCTGTCTAAAACACTTTCTTTCTATAAAACAGATCTATTCATTAGGCTATATCACAACTAGTGATGCAAAATGAAAAATGAGGGCTAGAGTATAGCAAGGCAGAAGATGAGTGCTTGCCTGACAGATTCATAGCTGAGTAAATGACCAGACCCCAAGAGTACTGACTAATAAATACAGCCAACCTGGAAAGACATCTCTAGTAATGTTCTTTAGTGCCCGATCTTATTCCACAACAACTTGGTTAATCTATTGAAAACATGATTACATTTTCCAAAGCTGAAGAAATATCCAATGTTATAACAAAATAAAGATTTCAAAAAGTCTCAAATCGGAATAATGAAATTGAATCCAACAAGAAAAGATTTAATAGAAATAAATATAAAGTCCTATATTGAGGATGGAAAAAAAAACCAACTGCACAATTAAAGAATGAATAACTCCTCACTTAACAGCTATTCAAGATGAAAAAGAGGCAGAGGTTTAAGTTTAATATAAGCTCAGTATAAGCCAAGAGCGTGACATGACTGACAAAAGCTAATGCAAGCTTAGGCTACAATAATAGTTCCATCCAAAGTAATGGAGGTAAAATAGCCTTCTTCTCAATACTCATCCTTCTTGACCTCTCTGCAGAATGACACTGTTGACTACCTTGACCTCTTGGATACTGTCTCTTCTCTGGGTGTTTGAGTATTCTGTTTGGTTTTTTTTGTGGGAGAAAGGCGGGCGGGCTCTGTTCTCATTTGGTTCTTGTCCCCCTTGTCTTTCTACCCCTTCTCAGTCTCCTTTGCTGGATCATCACTCATGTCATGCCTAAGGCTCTTATTTTATCCTAGACTTTCTTATTTTTTCTCTCTCTACATACTATTGCTTAGTGACCTGATCAATTCCCATGGATTCAATTATCATTTCTATGCAGATGACTTCCAAGATCTATATATTCAACCTTCATCTCTTTCCTAAGATCCTATCCCACTGCATCAACCGTCTATTGCAACTTGTCTCCAAATATGATGCTACATCCCTATTAGAAAGAAATCAGTGGAAACATACTCCCAATGTACATAATTATTTGAAAAGTATACACATAAACTTTTGTGCTCATAATTTTATACATTATTAAACCTATGCAAAAATTAAACATTAAAAAAGATGAGATAAGGACGGACAATATTTTATCCAAAAGTCAGGAAGGAGTCACTAGAGTTTACAGAGTAGAATGACATGGTCAGACCTGAGCTTTAAGAAAATCATTTTGGGAGAACTGTATTGTTATTATACCATGTTAAAGGGGTATACATAAAGGGGGTAGATATAAGTTGACTTTGATGTAATGATAAAAAAAAAATCTAATCAAGTGGGTTAAATGGATCCAAGTAAGTGGATTAATCTGAACTAAGAAAATATACTGAGAGAAAAGGAAAGGAAGAGGCAGACAAGGATAAATTACATTACAGGAAAAGGCACAAAAACCTATTACAGCAGAGGGAAATAAGGGAGGGAGATGAACATTATTTAAACCTCAGTCTCATCAGATTTGGCTCAAGAAGGGAATGCTATAATCAGTTAGGTATAGAAATCTAACTCACCCTATAGCCAGTAGGAGGGAAAAGGGGAAAGAAAAGGAAGGGGAGAGAGGAGGGAGGGAAGAAGTAGTAAGGGTAAATGGGAAGAAAAGGGAATGGGCTAATAGAAGGGATGTGGGACTGAGGGAGGTGGTGGTCAAAAGCAAAACACTAGTGAGGGAAAAGGAGAAAGGAGAAAGAAAATCGTAAATGGGGTGGGGGGGAGGAAGGATGGAGAGAAAGACACAGATAGTAATCATAACTGTGAATGTGAATGGAATGAACTCTCCCATAAAACAGAAGCAGATAGCAGAACGGATTAAAAACCATAATCCTATAACATGTTGTTTACATGAAACACATTTGAAAAAGAGCAACACACAGGGTAAAGGTAAAGGGCTGGAACAGAAAATATTACGCTTCAGCTGAAGTAAAAAAAGCAGGGATAGCAATAAAATGCTATCCACATACAAAGAAAAAACTATGGAGTTTGAATGCAGATTGAAACATACTATTTGCTATTTTTTTTCTTCTGCTGTGTTTTGTCTCCTCTTTCTGGTGGTTCCTTCTATTGGTTCTAATTCTTAAATGTGTTTAATAGGAATGTATATATATAACCTATATCAGATTGTGCACCACCTTGGGGAGGGAGGTGGAAAGGAAGGGGAGAAAAACTTAAAACTCAAAAGCTTATAGAAGTGATTGCTGATAATTCAAAATAAATTAAAAAAAAATCATTTTGGCAGGTATGTGGAAGATAGATTGAGAGGAAGAGAGGCTTGAAGCTGGAAGACCAACCAGACAGAGACTATAATCAATCTAGGTAAGAGAAGATGGGGACTTGAACAAAAGTGTAGGCTGTGTAAGTAGCAAAAAGAGAAAGCAAATAGAGTCTTTTATACACCTTTATGCATGTGTTGTCTCCCAGAATAGAATGTAAGAGCCTTGTGGTCAGGAATTATTTCGTTTTTGTCTTTGCATCCCCAGCAATTAGCACACTGCTAAGCTTTTCTTCTTGGTTTTAGTTTTTCATGTGTCCTATTTTTTTTTATTACTTCTTGAACCTATCCAATCTAATTTGCTTATTCAAATTTTCTTTAGGTTTGGGATTCAGAAAACCCAACTTATAACATTGTGTCTAAAGTGAGCATAGTCTTGTGTGGCTAAGGAGTTTTGCCTGTGAATAAAGTTTATGAAATTTATGAACTTCATTGCAAAGACTTTGTGAAAACTCAATTTTGGCTGCTCTTTTGACTTAAATTTAAGTCAAAGATTTACTAGACATCCCTTGCATCTCACTTGTGTACTTATTATGTGCTATTTTGCATTATAATTATTTGTATATCTGTCATATCTCAAAACTATGACCTTCATGAGGACAAGCAATATAATTTAATTGTGTATTTCCTGTAATGTTCCTTCCCAAACCCCACATACTGTGGGTACTTAACATTTATCAAATTTAATCGAGCATCAAGAATTTACAAAATGGTACTTAAGCTGTGTTATAATGGAACCAAGGAACTTTCAGAGGTAGAGATGAGGAAAGATTGAATTCCAGACATCGATGAAAAGTGAGGCAAATGCATGGAAACAGGAGATGGGACCGAGACAGGGAGACATGAGATTTCCTTAGTGAGGATAGCAAGGAAGCCAGTTAGGCTAGGCCACAGAGTCTATAAAAGGAGCTAATATATAAGGTAAGAAGGAGATTGAGGTCAGCTTGTGAAGGGCTTTAAATGCCAAAGAAGTTTATAATTTTATTCTAACATTAACAGAGGGCCACTGGTGCTCATTGAGTAAGAGAATAACATGGTCAGGTTTTAGGGAAACTACTTTGGCAGCAGAGTGGTGGACTGACTGGGTATGAGAAACTTAAGGCAAGGAAAGTAAAGGCTTTCTCAGTACAATTGAGAACTGATAAGAGCATGAACTAGTGTGGTGATAATGGGAGTAAAGAGAAAGGACAACATGGAGGATGTGGAGGGAAACCAACAAGATTTGCTGACTCATTACATTGTAGGGTAAGACAGTGACGTTAAAAATGACATCAAATTTATGAACTTGAGTAACTGGAAGGATATTGAAGCCTTGAACAAAAAAAGGGAAGTT